ACTCCCTACTATTCAAGGTAGAACCGAAAAAGCCTCTTGGTTGAGACGTAGTTTAATTATTGATTGACTTAAGTCTTGTCCGAAGCTGCAAGGAGTGCACAGACCTGTATGTAAGGCAGATTAGCCAACCATACTGCAGGAGATCTACATTAACGGGATGAAACTGTGAATCTAAAGCAAACAAGAGACTCATCTGAAGACATCAATGTCTACATTCTAGACAGGAAACAGTTTAAACGAGGACACCTATCAGGACCTTATGGGGCAGTCTTGAGGTCTATCATCAGGCACCAACATTTGTACCTCAGACTGTGAACGTTGGGTTGTTATTACAACAGAATGAAGATCTTAGACTCTACTGTTTAAGTTAAAGCTGGTTTAGACATGAGAGGACTTTAAGGAGTCCAGTATCTTCTAACCAGAGCTCTTCGGGTCACCACGACCCAGACGTCTGAGGTTCTGTCCAGGTGTCGGTGGGCTCAGAGACCATAAAGAACTTTTCTCTGCTCACTGGATGAAGTTTGTGTCTTTTTAAAGCTCCGAGAATCACAGTCCGTCTGTTCGCCACCAAAAGGATTCTCCTGTAAACCACATCAGCTCCATGTTTGTCCTCTCGCTGCGTTTTCTCCTGAAGAAGCACTTTTTTTTTTCTTTCCTCACATTCTTTACCACCTTTACATCATTTATATTTCATTTATATTTGATTCACACGATGTTTTATTCACGTCTTTCTCAACCTCTGGAGTTTATTCGCTCCTCCGTTTTTACCGACCCACTTCTGCCTCCATCAATACTTCATCAGCCTCGCTTCGCTTTCCTTTTTTTTTTTTTTTTTACCTGTTGTTTGCTTCTTTTTCTTCTCTTTTCGATCTGTCACTCTTGCGATCGCTCTGACCCGCTCGCCAGAAAGTTTCTTCACCTCCTCGCGTTTCATGTTCAGCTCCTCTTCTGTTCTCGCTCTCTTTTCTTTTCTCTCCTCGTCTTTCATCCGGAGCCTTTTGTGTTTTTCGCCGGAGCTCCTCTGCTCCCGAGGTCTCGTCGGCTGATGAACCGACGCCGTTTGTTGTCGGTGGAGACGAGCTCTTTTCCCTTCGGTCTCGTGGGGGCTGCGTTCAGACTCGCTCGGCGGTCCCGGGGCGTTCGCCAACACTCGTAAAAGTGAAAAGAAAGAGGAGCTGTTGTTGTGCTTTAGGTTGATCCGGCGTCACGGCTGAACGCGGCGGCGGATTGAATCAGACGCTGCTGTTTGATGCTGTGGCTTCTCAGCAGCGTCCCAGCGTGCTGCTCGCTGTTGACTTTTACAGGTTTATTGCAATTTTTATGCAGGGAAATATGGAAATTCTTGGAAATATGCGCTGAAATAAAACCAAATATCACCTGACAGCTTCCTGTAATTGGAAAAAATAGAATCAATACTGGAAAAAATGGCGACTCCACAATGCTGTAGACACATAAAACCTCGTTTAGGTGAAAGAACGTCAAGCAAAGTACAGCTTGTTTTTCTCTGCAGTGTAAAGTCCTGAACCTCCACAGAAACAGAACAGCAGCTTCTATGCAGTTTGACACCTTTACAGTGACTTTAGTCCCCAAAAAATAGCAGAAATTGAACTTCTTTTAGTGTTCATTTTGCAAAAATGGACAAAACTTGGAAATAGCTTGTGGAACTTTTTTCCCAAATGCTCTCAAGTTTTACCGATGTCGAGAAAAACAACCTCAACAAACTCTNAGTTGTTCTTCCTTCTAAAGACGATGTTCCGTCCAGTCCTTCATTTATCGACCCGACACCAGATTTAAATTCTTATTTTTCGTCACATCTGTGAAGTTTTGGCTCATTTTCCAACTTTCCAATTAACTTCCTGTGTTAATTAGGATTAGCTCAATGCTACGTGTCGTTAGCGCTGATCCCGGTGTTGGTCTCGGTGTGACTGACGTGTTTCCTGTTGTTGTTGTTCTTCAGGACTACCTGCTGAGCCACATGTACAGCAATGCCGCCCGGAACGACCTGTGGAGCAAACTGTCTCAGGTAAGGCTCACCTGGCGGCCCGTCAGGCTGTTGGACCTCCTGCAGCAGCCACACGACTCAAGCTGTTAATTATTTAACGAGACCTAATGAGGTGCTGTTGTTGCCGTGGTGACGTGACTGACAGGCTTGTTTTGATGTTGTGTTCGACACGAGACGCTTTAGGTTTAATTAATGTCACCTTCGTCAGGCTGCTCCTAATCAGACCTCTAATCACCTGGAGCTCCGTCACCGCCGTCTAATTAAGCTGATTAGCTAAACACCAGCTTATTGATGACTCGTCAGGACGGTTAACCGCCTCATTAATTTAATACGCGTCTATAAATTGGCTCATTATCGGTCGTTGGTTATTCATCCGCCAGGCGATGCGTTCGGAGGGGCGGGACATCGACATCGGCGAGATGATGGACCGCTGGACCCTGCAGATGGGCTACCCCGTCATCACCATCAGCAAGAACCAATCGGAGCAGCTGCCGACGCATTACATCACCATCAACCAGGAGCACTTCCTGTACGGCCAGTCGGAGGTCCGGAAGAACAACAGGTGGGAGAAAACTTTTTAAAAAATGAGCCGCCTTTACCGATGTTCCTCTGAGATGTTCGGACGTTCAGAGGAATTCAAACACCTGGAAGACCTGACCAAAGAAATCACCAACGTTACATTTATTAGAACCAGAAACCGTAAAAACAGACGGCTTCTCAACTTTCAGATCGTCCTCATCTGTCAAAAATTCCTCCAAATTTTAATTTCCGCACTTTTGTGTCGTCTTACAGGGTTGATATGGAGCCAGGCAACCAGTTCAATGCCCATAACAATGAGTTTATGAGATTCTGTGGATTTGTTGAGTTGGGTTCACAACCCTTAAGACTATCGTTTCACTCTTTGAGACAAATTTGTAGTTCTTGCAAGTTTATAAAGTTTTTATGTATTAAAAAAGTACCTCAAACATGTGACGATGACAACTTGACCTTCATGAAGGCAGCAAAACCATCCAGAGAGAGAAAAGAAGGTGTTTTAGTGGAATTTTAGGCTTCGATTTGGTTCAGTTCCAGTTCAAGGACTCTCTGAAAGTTGAATATTTGGACTTTTTTGTTCTGTTTTTACAGTTTCTGGTTCTAGTAAATGGCAAAATGTTGCTGATACAAGCCTTCTGAACTGTGTTTTGTGGTTTAAAGTGTTGATATCCTGTGAATTGTGGCAAAAGTTCATAGTTAGAATTCAAACTAGAGCTGCTGAAGGATTTTGGTTTAGACAAGAAAGACCTTCAAGAACCAAAAAGAAATCCAATCGCCTTTTATACTGCTGTGCTGATCCTAAAAACTCGATAATGGTGCACCTTAAACACAAAAACTGGTTAAATATAAGGATAAAACACCTAAACACAAGCTGAGAAGTGTTTTATAGGCAGCGTATAGCAGAGAGGAGCGCTCAGACCTGTATGTAAAGGAGATTAAAATCCCACAGTGGAGAAGATCTGGATTCACAGGACCAGA